CATTTTTTATATCCTTTGCTTAATTGCTCTTCGTAGGACTTCCAACACTATCCTTCAAAGTAGTAATGAGGGGCCTCCCCAGTAGCACAGCGGTTGAGCGCTGGGCTGGGAAGCTGCCCGCAGCCTCTGCAATGCCGATTCCATCCCCGGTCGCTGGCGAGGGTCCCACATGGCGCGCAGACCTCTCCTGTCCTGCCTGCTGCTCCCCTCAGCAGTGTACTTCCTCAGTCTGCCTGTTCTGCTCCCTGCTCTGGCTCTGGTGGGTTCTCTCACTCTCCCGCGCTTCTGACTGTACCCAGTGCTTGTGTAAATGAATAAATCTTTAAAAAACAAAACAAAAAACAAAGGAGTAATGAGGGTGGATATCCTTGTCTTATTCCTTATCTTAGAGGAAAATCAGTTTTTCATAATTGAGTATGATGTTGCCTGTGGGTTTGTCATATACGACATTTATTATGTTGAGGTACAATTCTATATCCATTAAGGGTTTTTATCATAAATGAATATTGACTATGTATATATTTTTTTGAGTCTACTGAAATGATTTTTGTGCTTCATTGATGTGGTGTACCATTTTTTTCGTTTTCGTCGATGTAGTATACCATTTATTGATTTGCATATGTTGAGCCATCCATGAATCCCTGGAATATATTCCACTTAGTCATCTTCTGAGTCTTCCAACATATTGTTGAATTTGATTTGCTAAGATTTTGTTGAAGACTTTTGCTTTTGTGTTTATCAGGGATATGGGTCTTTGTGAAGTCCTTCTAGTTTCAGAATCAGGGTAATTAGTGGGTTTCATAGAATGTGTTTGGAAGTTTTCCCTCCTTTTTAATCTTACAGAAGAGTTGGAGAGATACAGGTATAATTCATCTTGTAAGGTTTGCTAGAATTCACTAGTAAAGTCACCTGGTTCTGGGCTTTCTTTTGGAAGACTACTGATTGATTTTAATTTCCTTACTCACCATAGTTATGTTTAGTTTGTTTCTTCCTGATTCCATCTTGGAATGTTGCAAGTTTCTCAGAATTACTCCCCTCTTCTGAGTTATCCAATTTGTTGCCATATAATTGTTCACAGTATTCTCTTATCCTCTGTAGTACCATTTGTAATTTCTCTTTCAAGTCGATTTTATCTTTTTTCTTTTTGTGGGTCTGGAAAAATTTGTCTAGTATGTTAATCTTTTTAAAGAACAAAAACTTGGTTTCATTGATCTTTTAGAATATCGTTTTGATTGCTGTTTCATTAATTTCTAATCTTTTATTTTCTTCTGTCTACTTTTGTTTTGCCTTTTCCCCCCAGTTCTTTTAATGTAAAATCAGATCTCTTATCTGTGATTCTTGTTTCCTGAAGTAAGCTTGTATTGTTATAAACTTCTCATATTACTCCTTTTGCTACATCTTTTCATTCCTATCCATATATTTCACTTTCTCATTGATTAAACAGTTGTTCAGTAGCGTGTTTTTATTCTCCACAATTTTGTGGTTTTTCCTTTTCAGTTTGATTCCTAGTTACATACCATTATGGTCCAAAAGATGATTAATATAATTTCAATCTTTACAAATTTAAGACTTGTTTTGTATCCCAACTTTTACAGTCTATCTTTGAAAATGTTCCATTAGCACTTAAAAAGATTGTGTGTTTGGGTTTGGGGCAGAATGTTCTCTAAGTATCTAGTAAGCCCACCTCATCCAGTTTGATATATAAGGCCATTGTTTCCTTATTTCCTGTCTGATCTGTCCATTGATATAAATGGGTTGTTAAAGTCCTCTACTGTTACTGTGTTGCTATCAATGTTTTCCTTTAGGTTTCTCAATATTTGCTTTATATGGTTTAGTGTTGATAGGTCCTTATATATTGAAAATTGTTATGTCTTCCTGTTGTAGGATTCCTTTATCATTGTATTTTGTGCTGTCTCATGTTATTATTTTTTACTGGAAGACTATTTTAATCGATATAGTTATTCCTTCTTTTATTTTTTCAATGGCTTGCGAGATGTTTCTATACCTTCATTTTGAGTCTATGTGTGCATTTATAGCTTAAAGAAGCCTCTTATAAGCAATATAAACTTGGATTTTGCTTTTTAATCAATCTGGTCACTGTCCCTTTTGATTGCTGTGTGAGATGAGCAAGACTGCAGCCATTTTGAGAAATAACTGTCATCTCAAAAGGGCATAGCTAGTTTCGTTTTGGGACAAAAACCACAAGCCAAGGGTAAACGAAACCTAGCTGGCACCATGAGAGCTATCCAATCAGGGTGGACCCTGCCCCAGGTATGAAAATTTCCCGCATCCTGTCAACAAAGTACAAAAACAGCTGGTTGCTCTGGGAGGGGGTCCCTCTCTCAACCTGATGAGACTGCTGTGTCAGTACACCAGGCAGAGTTGGGCCCTAGCTTAAGCTAGCAATAAAGCCTTTTTGCTTTTGCATCTCTGGCTCTGTGTAGTCTTTGGGAACCCCGGATGGAGTTGAGGCGCCAACTCCTAACAGCTGAGTTTAGTATATTTGCATTAAGGGTGATTATTGATATATGAAGGCTTGCTGCAGTCATTTTGTCTTTAGTTTTTTTGGTACTTATTATTTCTTTATTAAATTTTTTTTACATCAATATTTTTTTGTAGGGGAGGCCTAGTGCTGACAACTCCTATAGTTTTTGTTTATCTGTGGAAGCTTACATTTCTCCCTCACATTTAGAGGATAGTCTTGCAGCATATAGTATCCTTAGCTAGTAATTTCATCTGAGTATTTTGAGTGCATCATTTTCTCCATGCCTATAGAGTTTCTGGGTAGAAGTCCAGAGTAAGCCTGACAAGAGTACCTGTTTTAGTTGCCCTTTTTTCCCTAGCCACCACCAATATCCATTGTGGTGAACTCTTGCCTGTCTTGCCCACTGCTTCGCTTAGCATATATATTTCATTAAATCCACCTTTTCTGTTGTCCAAAAATAAAGAAACCCTTCCTCAGATTTGGGTAGTTTTCCCCTATTTCTTTGAACAAACTTTGTTCCCCTTTCTAATCCCTTCTGGCATACTATTATCCCATGTTGCCTTTCCTGATGGAGTCAAAAGTTCTTGAAGTGCTTCGGGCTTTTTTAGTTTTTGTTTTAGTCCTTCTCCTCTTCCTCCTTCGTCCTCTTTGAGTGCATTTTCTTTGAATCATTTATGCAACAATGCATTTGGTCTATTATTGCCATACCTTTCTCTATAGTCTTGAACTCACTTGAGTTGTTTACATCCTGAATCTATTATTTTCTTATTAAAACTTCGATTTCTACTAGTTATTTCCGAAGTCATTCATTTTTTCTGAATTTTGCATGTCTTGGATTAGCTTTTGAGTTCTCGTGTCACTTTTACTTATCTTTTCCCATTTCCTCTATCTGTCACTGCAACTTTTAAAGTCTATCTGATAGGGAGATATAATCTTCCATATTTTTGTGGTTGAATTCTGGAGTTCTCTCCTTGTGATAATTATATTCCCTTGAGATCTCAGTTGCCATGTGTGGTTTTTTGTTTTTATTTTACTATCAGCAACTTTGAGAACAGGAAGCTCTTTTCCAGCAATCTCACTTTGACTTTTTTCTTTCTTTTTTATTTAAAATCTTTTTTTTTTAAGATTTATTTTTATACAAGAGCTGGGGTACAGGCCAGAGGTGCAGGAGGGTGAGAGGATTCACCAGAGACAGCAGGGAGCAGAACAGACAATAGAAATACACTGCTGAGGGGAGCAGTGGGCGCGACAGGAGAGGTCTGCTGCGCCATATGGGAATCTCCCTGGCCGGCCGGGATCGAACCTGGACTGTCGAGGCTGCGGACGGCTTCACAGCACGGCGCTCAACCCGCTGAGCCACTGGGAAGGCCCCTGTGACTTTTTTCTTGATCTCTGTTGGCTTCCATAGAAACTGACAACTATATTTGTAGTTGCTGTCAGTAGAGTGTGGAAGGAACATGAAGGGGTCCAATCACCAAAGCTAATGTGCCAGTAAGGGCAGGTGTCTGGTTTATTTGTGATACAACTGATAGCCTTCCTCATTGGAATCTCAGATCTGAGATTCAACAATCCATCATCAGTGCACTTAACTAGGGCAGTGGTTAGGGTTAGGTAGGCAGAGAGTAGTCTAGGGCACCTTCTGTTGTCCTTTACTGGGCTTCAGCTGGGTCTATGGCATGTGTCTCCAAACCATTTAATTCTATACTTCCCATGACTCCTTGCTGGGTTGGAAGTTATCATCTATGTTCCCTGCCCCAGACCAGAGCCTCCAAGAGATTCTCTTCACCTCTTCTATCCAGTGATAAGTGAATTTCCTCCTTATTCCTCTAGTACAATCTGTGTTGCTCATCAAAGTGCAAGATTCAGTCTCATTCTGAGCCTCAGGACTCTCTTGGTGTAGAGAGACTCCCTGGTTGGTTAGGTTTTTGGGAATGAAGCAAGGAACCTCCTCTCATCACCTTGGTGGGCCCTCTCTTAGTTTGACTTTAATTGCTATCTTTTATCCTAGTGTAATGGCTATTGATTGACATAGTACTTCTTTTATTCTAGGCATAAAACTGAAATTAAAATAATTCAGAGTGTATTGCTAATAAATTCTTTTTTTTTTATGCATATAAGAACTGAGGTACAGGGCAGATGTGTGGGAGTAAGAAGATTCACCAGAGACAGAGTGGGGAACAGAACAGGCAGACTGACTGAAATACACTGCCGAGGGGAGCAGGGGACAAGTCAGGAAAGGTCTGCTGCATCTACCTGTCTGGGGATTGAACTTGTGCTGCAGTGGCTACAGATAGCTTCATAGGTTGCATCTTAACCCCTTGCACCACTAGGGAGACCCCTAATAAATTCTTTAAGGGTTATCTTAAGTCTTAAAAAGAAACACTTCAAGATCTATCATTTAAAATCTGCCAACACAGAACTTATGTTGATGTTAATTTTTGTGAAATCCTTGAGCCAAACCTAAATCCTTGTTGATATAAAATATTCTGAGAACACTGATACCATATTAAGTATACTTTATTAAACATACAATTCCAGACTTATAGCCACAATAATCTTTAAAAAATGGAGAGGGAAAGAAATAGGTAAAACTAAATAAAATTTTTTAAATTATATACCCATTCCTGAAAGCACTGTCACTGAGTAAAATGATGTAAATGAAAATTTTCCTTTAAAAAATTTAATTGGGTGTAATGTTATATCCCAAGATATCCAAAGAATGTACAAACTGAATGAAAGAACAAGTTTATAAATAATAACCAATATAGAAATACATTCTAAAGAAAGCTTATTATACTTGCCAAAGAGGAAAACTTGATAATGGATGGCAATTTGTGACAGGGAAAAATAAAGTAGTCACTCTTTCAAAGGTGCATTCTGCTTCCTACAACACTTTCCTCTCACCAATTTTCCACCCATTTGGGGACAAATGGTCATCTTACATTCAAACTGCACTTAAAATTAAGTTTTAGCATCTAATCAGTTGGGCAACAGGAGAAAGTACAGCATACAGCCTGTTGGCTGGGTTTATGGATCCAAGTGCATACACTTAAAAAAAAATTAGGGTATATAGTTCAGAAAAACACCTTTAGGGAACTGTGTTCAAAACTCATTGAAATGGCAATCACACATAATTTACTAAAGTGCTAGAAAAATGTAACCTCTTCGTTCCTCTCACTTGACATACTTATGGCAGAGTAAAATAACCTGATGCACAATTCAAATGTGTTCAAAATTATAATCTCAATGTAGAAAGTATCAAGTACATTAATGTGTCTCTTTCTGATAGTAATGTTTAAATATTGGAGGATTTTGCATATTTGTTCAGTGTTTTTTGGAGTTTGAAAAGTATACTCAAGAGGTTATTGAAAAATGATGTAACTTTTCTAAAGATGAATTCATATGCTTATTTATTAAGCAAATATACAAACAAATGCATTAATATCAAATAAAAACAAAAACCCATACAATACTGAATATAAATATTCTTGGCGGTTACAGATTTGAAACAAAATCTCTTATTCTACGATCAGTGCATGCAGTTTAACCCACTAAATTATCACCTTTGAATATCAAGAAACCAGAAACAAAAGATGATGTTTTAAAGAGGATAATAAGTTTCAAAGTAAAAGTGACTATTTCCCTTATTTGAAAAGCATAGAATTTTTCTAAAATGTCAAGTGAAAAGGTAAACACATTGGAAAAAACATTGCAGATCTAATTAAATAAAATTGAAAAAACTGTTCAATTATACACAGACCTAAAATGAATCTGTGAGATTTTAAGAATTAAAACTATTCACATAAGCACTTAGAGATGAATAATTAAGAGTACCTAATTAATGGAAACTTTCTACCCCCTTCTCTTCTTTATATATATACATTTCCTAACATCATTCAACAAAAAAAAGATAATGCTTTCAAGATACATAACAAATAAAGCAAGACCATTTCTATAAGCAACCTTTCTTAAAGGGAGGTTAACTTAAGAGAAACAAAGTAAACTATGAAATGAAGAGTGATTATGATGTTCACATAATAAAACAGGTGCCCCTTAATCAAACTTTAAAATATCAGACTGCTTAATTAATCATAGGAAAAGAGGACAAAAAATGGAAATAAGAGCTGAGACTAAATAAACTAAACTGCCAAGAAAATAATCTACCTTGTCTTCAGTTGCTCAAGTATAAAGGTAAACTACTCATTCCCATTCAGGGTGAATAGAGAATAAAATGGAAAAACTTATCCCTCATTATTCTATTAAAATTACCTATAAAAATGGGGAGAAAGTTAGGGAAAACTATACTTCCATCTCAAATCATTTAAAGACAAATACAGTTTAAACCAATCTTTTAACCACAATGACATATTCAATTTTGAAAGAATGGTCGGAAAAGGGAGAAAGCAAGTAGTTATTTTAAATTCCATGTAAACGGAATCTTTATACTCATGTATTAACTATTACCTTTTAAGTATAGACTCATTTCTTCTTTAATTCTCAAAAATACCCTGCCAAAGGCCGACTAAAATTTCATCCATACCACAGATGTAGAAACAAAGGGAGAAAAAAATGTTAAATGATCCATCAATATGTTATTACAAACTAGGAACAAAGTCTAACCTGTTCCTCTATAAATGTGTTATAGAAACATTAATAAATATCAGTGAAGTGATTAAATACTAAACCTGGTATTATCTTTCATATAAATTAAGATAGAAACAAAAGTACTGGATCAAAAATACTTAAAATTTTAAAATACTTTTCTAGGGAATCTTTTAAACTTTTAACAGGTGCACTAACTTACACAGGCAACATCACCAAACTATGTAACATTAAAGTTTCCAGTTAAGAAACTGGTCATCCATTGAGAAATACCAGGGAAAAAAATGCAAACCTGCTGAGAATGACAGAGCAAGAGGACAAGAAGATACTGGGTCCTTTATGGTGTAGTTTAGTCTTTACACTGATCCTGGAAATATGTACATTTCCAGAGTTCTTGTTGTGAAAAATAATTCAATGCCTTTGTTTTTAGAGACACCCCCCCAAAAAAAAAAATTCAGAAAATAGGTTATAAACTTTTGTAAAAGATTCATTAAAAAAAAATTTTTTAATAAACAAAAATGGCTAAAAACTTAGACTTCCTAATAAGACCTGTATGAATATGGAGCTGTGAAGACACATAAATCTGAAGTATCTGGAAGTATTTTGCTGTCTATATAGTCTTCAGCAAGATCACAAAGTGCTCAAAAATTCTTTGACCTAGAGGGAGGGAAAAATATGTTAATACAATTTCTTAACTAATTTGAGATACCTAATAATCATCTTCATTTAAAAGCAGATCAGTTGAAGAATTATTACAAAGCCATAGCAATTACATTTAAAAGAAATATTACATAAATACTTCATTACTCAAACATGAATGACCTAAAACGTCATTACAAAAGTTTACAACTAAGATTGATAGTATTCTACAACAGCTATAAGGCTAATTCTATAAACTTTTACTTAAATGCCATAGACTATTGACACATAAAGCTTTGACCTTGATAACATTAATAAATGCAATGGTTCAAGCAACATCGAAGGTCCAGACATGCAGATTTGTAATTTTTCTGAAACACAAATGTGAATCATAAACACTAATATAAATGAGAGAAAGTCATGTAAGCAGTGAATGAACCTAGTCAATTCACCAATATCACAATGTATTAAGACTGTTCTCTATATATCCTAGACTGCACAGTAATTCTAGAGACAATGAGTAAAGTCTTGTAAAAATAACTAAAATAGAAAGTCAATTATAAGCATTTATTAATGGAGATAAAAATAAGTAATATATATATGAAATGATGATTTTTTTAGTCAAAACACAAAAGTGTTATATAAAATTTAAAAAGTGGTTTTACATTCAGTTAAAATGATGGCTGAAGGAGACAGGGAACAAGAAATAAGATGATTTACATCTTGAATTGACAACTGTTGGATAGCCAGAGTCAATCCCCATGGAAATTATCTTTCATAACAGATTTGATCTGGGGAATAGCTGAGTTTGTGGTTTTAATGTTAAAACTTTACTTCAACAAGATATGAAAAATGAAAAGGATACAGAAATTTTTTTGATTCTAGCTATAACAGGAGAATACCAAAAACCTCCCCAGAAGATCAGGTCAATTAATCATTTATGTGGCCCTAGTCCTCCTCCAATGGCGAGTAGATGAGAAAGATAAATGTCTACTCTAAGAAGCAGACAACTAGAGATGCACATTCACAGAGAAACCATCACAAAGTGGAGGGTTGACCATGCTGGACTAGTGGATGAATATGTATGTCTTAACAAGAATTGCTGTGTCCTCACAGATGAAAGAGGTCATGCTGCAAATTCCCCGCACAGGGATCGGGCATGACTGACATGCAGTTCTATAAATGCACATGTTAGATTCGTCTTTTTTGCATTGTTTATGAAAGTTTTAACATAGTTATAATAAGTAAATATTTTTAGGTTATAAAAATTATCTTGTTTTAATAATTAAAACAAGAAAACTGGGTCCTCTCCTGGTGGCACAGCGGTTGAGTGCTGGGTTGCAAAGCTGCCCACAGCCTCTGCAGCACCGGTTCAATCCCCAGCCACCGGCGAGGGTCCCACATGGCGCACAGACCTCTCCTGCCATGCCCACTGCTCCCCTCAGCAGTGTATTTCATCGGTCTGCCTGTTTGTTCCCCGCTCTGGTTCTGGTGAATTCTCTCACCCTCCAGCGCTTCCGACTATACCCAATACTTGTATAAATAAATAAATAAATCTTGAAAAAAAAAAAAAAAAACAAGAAAACTGAATTGTAAGAGAAATAAGTGTATTCATACTATGCCATCTTTTTCAACTTCGAAATACTGTGCACTGTTAATATTTGTTCTCATTTATAAATGAGAAAATAAAATTTAAAAATTAAATAAAGTTATGGTTTACAGTAATACTGAAAAGGCTGATTTAATATTATTCAATTACTTTAATAGTACCATAAGTGAATTCTATTTTTATCATTAATAGTATTAAATGCTCATTTGAATATTTCAGATATGGTTTGATGTACACCAAGGGAAAAACAAATAGTGCTATAGTTGTTCTCTATAAATGTTAAGATTTTCAAACTTCTTGAGATATTTATCTAATTAGTGCCAAGTACTTGTTATAGTAAATAGCAGACATTTTCTGAAAGGAGAAAAGATCAAATTTCTTTCAAAAGTATACAAACAAAAATATGGCTATTTCTTTAGACCTTAGAGCCCCTAATTAATATGGGCACAGGATTTTTTTTTATATAATTACTGCTACCATTCTCTCTCAAGTGAGCATCAATATGTTACCTCCCAGTACCTTTATCAATATGGGTTACACTCACTCAACAGAATATCATTGACTCCCAAGTATCTGCGGAACAGATTAACTATAACCTACACAATGACTCAATGATCAGGCATCACCAATTCTTCATTGACAAAGCCCCAAATAAAACTTAAAACTAAAACTCCTTTAATCTCAACTTCAGCTAATAGAAAAATGAATGAAATCCATATCCCACAACGTCAAATATCGTCGATACTGAATTTAGCTTAAAAAGTTAAATTTAGTTTCACAAGCTATTAATCATTAAAATATCTAAAAAATCGGTGTTATAGGAAAGAAAAAGGACAAAGCAGAGGAAAAGAGGTAATCAAGAACTTCTGTCAATGTGCTTACTATATCACACACTACATTACAAACAAAGGAAGTAAAAGATAAAAGAAGGTTCATATTTTAACTAAGACCACAAAGCTAGAATATGAAGTTAGGATTGGAATCTGAACAATATAAATCCCTTGAAAGCTCTTACTGTCTCTTACTATAATTTTATGTTATCTTTTTTTTAGACAATGCCTTTCCAACAAGTTAGTTTACAGACAAAACAAGTGTTAGCTTATAGTCTTTGTATAAATCTACCTTTTCAACCAGACTATCATGTTTGTCCTTAAAGTCTTCATTAACATCCAGTGTTAATATAGGCACTTCTTGTAGATAATCAAAGTTGGTTCTGTTTAACAATGGAAAGATGAATAAAATTAGAAAAGCAATAAATAAAAGAGAAACACTAAAAACCCATTCCTATATTATCACTGAAAAATGCTGTCTTTTTTTTAATGACCAAAAAGGGCAGGTTTATTAGGGGAAAAAGGAAAGGAGAGGAAGATAGTTGCAGATACAAGCAGAAAGAAAGAGCTGCTGCTTTCAAAGGTAGAGGTCTGTTAAAAAGGGACATCTGCATAGACACAGGCAGTCTTGAGATGCTATCTACATTAAAGTGATACTGAAAGTGGGCCTCCCCTGGTGGCACAGCAGTTGAGCGCTAGGTTGCGAGGCTGCCTGCAGCCTCTGCAGCGCCAGTTCGATCCCAGGCCACCGGTGAGAGTCCCACCAAAAAAAAAAAAGTTATACTGAAAGTACTTCATCAGACAGCCCCATCTTTCTCACCTACATTTACTATATATAGCTTTAAAATCTCAGTTATAAAATATATAGAATTAGGCACTGTGACATGTAAAATACTCAAAACCAAAAACATACCCTGAAGTAGGCATTTTTTTGCATTTTAAAGATAAGAAAACTAAAGTTCAGGGAGGTCACTCTCCAGTCCTGAGATTATCTTAGATTGAACACCAATGAGACTAAATTTGAATTAAGATTTTACTAATGACAAAGTCCATGCTCTTAACAATTATGCTATACTATTTCCTAAGCCTTGATTGAACAAACAAATTTAATCTTATCTTATAATTCCCTCTGAAAAAGAGAAGCTAAGTAATATACACAGATGTAATTCCTACTCTATCACTTAATGTGCAATTCTACAGATCATGCCATCATTATCAGTGGGGGAGATTAGTTATAAAACTTATATACGGGATCTTTTTATAATAAAAAGAATCAAAACTCACACCAAACACTGTAAGATCCTAAAATACCAATAAATAAAATGGCTGAAAATGAAAAACTGTACATGTTCTGGATTAAAATCTGATGATTACTTCTAAAATATTAGTAAGAATAAAAAGTCTTACTTCAGTGTTCTATGCAGAAGCCAGCTTTCATGTTTGTAGTGAAGTTTTTCTAAATATTCAAGAGGAATTCCTTGTTCTTCATCTCTTCCCCGTAAATATATTCTATTCAAGCATTTCTAAAAGTAAGCAATAAGAAAGGTAGGACCATACTCTTGTCTGCTGCCACTAAAATTTTCTTCTTAGTGTCTTTTTAGTTATGCTAGCCAAAATCTCTATATATTGTTTCAAGAAAGTAAGTAAAAATAGTTCATTTAGAAAGTAAAGAAAGTAAAATAGTTCGTTTCCCCTCCTTGTGCTTTTCAACCATTTAGTGGCTCTAAACCATGGAGTGCTTTCAAAACTAAGTCAAAGTAAATCTACAAACTTCTGGCCTCCATATTTACAAAACACTCTAAAAGTTTGTTAAGAAGAAAAAAGGTTCAGGGGCCTCCCTGGTGGTGCAAGGGGCTAAGTGTCACACTATGAAGCAATCTGCAGCCTCTGCAGCACAAGTTTGATCCCAGCTGGCCAGGAAGCAACCCACATGGCGAAGCAGACCTCGCCTGTCCCGCCTGCTGCTCCCCTCAGCAGTGTATTTCAGTCAGACTGCCTGTTCTATTGCACATTATGTCTCTGGTGGATCCTCTCACCCCCCTAACCCCACATCTCTGGCCTGTACCCCAGCTCTTGTATGCATAAATAAATAAATTAAAAAAAAAAAGTTCAAAATATAAACTGCTTCAAAGTTTATTAAAAGTTCTCTTTCAAATAATTAGTGACTCTAATCAAAGAAATCATAAACAACATTGATAAAATAAAGTTCTGAGTTAAACTTTAGAAAGTCTTCACTAGGAATGTTCCTAGTAGAATGAAATTGGGCCTCCCTGGTGGCACAAGGGGTTAAGCACAGCACTGTGAAGCTATCTGCAGCCTCTGTAGCATAAGTTCGATCCCTGGCTGGCCAGGGAGATATCCATATGACACAGCAGACTCTCCTATCTTGCCCACTGCTCCCCTAGTAGAATGAAATTATTAGTAATCTTTATGTTCTTTTTCTTCTTTAAAAAAAGATTTATTTTTATTTATTTATGCATACAAGAACTGGGGTGTAGGACAATGGTATGGGGGAGTAAGAGGATTCACCAGAGACAGAGTGGGAAGCAGAACAGGCAGGTCTACTGAAATACACTGCTGAGGGGAGCAACAGGTGAGACAGGAGAGGTTTGCTGTGTCATGTGGGTTAGCTCCTTGCCCGGGTATCAAATTCATGCCACAATAGCTGGCAACAGCTTGACGGTACTGAGACTTTAATCCTTGTGCCACCAGGGATGCCTATGTTTTTTGTCTATATTTGCGTTAAAGACAGAAAAAAATTTTCATTTGACATCATTAAAATAATCATCTTGTAAAATAAAAACATTCAATATAAATAATCCCTATCAAAGTTTTTTTTGTTGTTTGTTTGTTTTGCATAGAAGAACTGAGGTGTAGGCCAGCGGTGCAGGGGATGAGAGGATTCACCAGAAACACAGTGGGGAGCAGAACAAGCAGATTTACTAAAATACACTGCTAAGGAGAGCAGCGGGCAAGATAGGAGATGTCTGCTGTGTCACGTGAGTTAGTTCCTTGACCAGGGATCAAACGTAGACCTAGCAGTGATAGCGTTAAGACAACCCCTAGGCCACAAGAGAGGTCCCCTGTCAAAGTTTCAATGGCATTCTTCAAAGACATAGACTATTATTGAAATTTATACGGAAATACAAGACTCCAAATATCCAAAGCAACTGTGACCAAAAAACTAAGAATGGTAGTATCACACTCCCATACTTTAAACTATATTACAAAGTTTTAACAATCAAAAACTGTGATGCTGAAACAAAAATAGACATATAGACCAATGGAACATAATTACAAACCCAGAAATAATCCCACACCTATATGGACAGTCTATCACAAAGGAGCCAAGGACATACTTTAGACAAAGGAAAGTCTCATCAACAAATGGTGTTGGAAAAACTGGATAGCCTCATGCAAAAGAATGAAACTAGACCACTATCTCACACCATCACAAAAATTAACTCAAAATGCTGATAAAAGACTGGGATATAAGGCCTGAAACCATAAAATGCTGCAAGAAAATATAAGCTAAACACTCCATAGCATAGGCATAAGTGATATCTTTATGGATTCATCTCCAACAGCAAGAAAAACAAGAAATATAAACAACTGGGACTACATCAAACTAAAAAGCTTCTGCACAGCAGGGAAAAAATCTATAGTGTAAACAAAGATAGCATACTGAATGGGAGAAAATATTTGCACACATATATCTGACAAGGGGCTGAAACCCAGGATCTACAAAAAACTCATACACTTAAGTAGGCACCTGTTCAAAGAAATTATACACATGGTTAACAGGAACATGTAAAAATGTTCATCATACCACCTCACACCTGTGAAAATGGCCCACATCAAAAAGACCAGAAACAGCAAATGTTGGCAAGGTTATAGAGAAAAAGGAATCCTCAGACAGTATGGGTGAGAATGTAGATTGTTTCAGGCCCTGTCAAAAACAGTATAGAGATTTCTCAAAATATTAAAAATAGATCTACCATTTAATCCAGCAATTTCTACTTGTAGGTATATACCTAAAGAACACGAAAACACTAAGTGGAAGATATATATACACCCCTATGTTCACTACAGCACTATTTGAAATAGGCAAGAAACAACCTAAGAACCCAAAGGCAGATGAATGGATAAGGAAGATGTGGTACATATACAAAATGGAATACTACTCAGCTATAAAAAATATGTACTTTTACCATTTGCAACAACATGGATGGAACTACAGAAGATTATGTTAAACAAAATAAGTCAAAAGAAGAAAGACAATACTGGATAGTGTCATTTTGATATGAAATATAAAGAAACCAAAGGGTCAGATAAAGTCAAACCAATAATAAATACTAGAAACCTGACTGGAGAACTGAGACTATCAGAAGGGGAGAGGGAAGTACACAGTGGGGGATAGGGGAGCACAATGAACTATAGTGAAGGACTATGGGTATTCTTGAGCTAGGTGTGGTGTGGCAACAACAGAGATTATCCAATAGGATCACACAAAGGTGATCCTATACCTCTAAACCATATACAATGTATAAACCAATATTACATCAATAAAAAGTATTAGTGAATCAAAAAAATATATTTCCAAAATAAATTTAAAAATTATTGTTAAATTCTGGCTTACTTGACACATTAGAAAATAAACAAAAATCATTACTTGGAATCAGAAACAATTTTTTTTTAAATTCAGTCTCAAGAACGACATAACACTCTTTCAGGTTAGAAGTCACAGTATTTACATTCATCAGAGCCTAATTTGTGACTTAGGGAAGTAACAGGAATGAAAAAGAGAAAAGTGAAAATACAAACACCAAAATCAGAAATTTCTTAATAATTTCATATGGAACTAATTTCATATGTAAACTAATTTCATATGTAGGACTAATTTTATATGTAAACAAAAATACCTGTTACAACTTATTACAAAGACATATCTTCAAGCAAGCTCCCATAACTGAAAATAGCAAGGATCCTCTTAGTCTCATCTCAACTGTAGCTGCTATTACCCACTCATTCCGAGCCACCAGCAACCATAAGAGATTTTTTGCAATGGACCTCCATCAACTTTGCCATTCATTCAGCAAATATGAGCTACTACTACATACCCAGGTCCTATTCTATGCACTGGAAATTCAATTGCAATAAACATACTCAAAATTCACCTCATTGAATACTATATTCTAGGAGTTACTTGAGCAATTATCTTAGTCTAGCTGTAACATATAAGAGAGTCTGCAAAAGTAAGAAAGTAATATTGATGAACAGAACTGAAAAGAACAGAGAAGGACCTGAGTTACTTGCCAAACCTGGGGTTATTGTTTGCAGAGATCATAGAATACTTCTGTGTATACAACTATGACTTTCTAGTTTGTGGGTGGGTAGTAGTAGGATTGAGAGCAGAATTAAACTAAACTGCCTTCAGAAACTATATACTACCAAAAATATTTCTACACATTAAATTTCCAATGCAAACAAATTTTTATTGCATCTTACCTCTGGAGTGGCTCGAAGATAAATGATTCCATCCAGTTCAAGGCTTTGGCCAAAGTGTTTATTCATCCAGTCATGCCAGTCTTGATAAATTGTCCACTCTGTTTCATTCATGCAGTCAGATTCATACAAATTAGATGCAAAAATATACCTGAAAAAGAATTTACATCAACACAATAATCCGTCTCAAAAAAAAAAAATCACAAAGAAATATAAGAGAGAAAATGGTTCTACTAAATGGACATGGAACATTTACCTAAAACCTCTGGGAGAAAAAGCCTTAAAGGGCAGAGAAAGACAGTATTTCCAACTCTAAGAAATATGTTCTTGGCTAGTAGTTTCCAAAAATATGGTGTGAGAAGACCCATCCAGGGGTTCCATGAGAAATTACATTACATCATATACTATAATTCAACCAAAAGAACCTATTATAGAGACTGAATAAAGAAACATAAATGATAATAGTTATTTCAAGTTAAACATTAAAAAGATTTGCAAAAACATGAAATAATGCTTTCTCACTTGTTTTTTAAAATATCTTAAGTACATAATTTATGCATACATAATGGCTATAATATACTCAATTTTATATAGGTAAATAATATCTTTATGTTTCTCAATCTTAATTTTTAATAACATAAATACCAATAAGACACACAAAGCTGGAGAAAGCTGGACAAACCTCTTCAGCCTCCACAGTATTTATTAAGTATGGAAAGGGGTCCTAAGACCAGGAAGTGTGAGAGTCTCTTTTGTGAGCCAACTCTAGAAGTTAAAAGAATCCTTGCACAATAGGTAGGGTGATTCTAAGGCCCCTTTAGGAATATTGGATCTCCTTAATGCAGGCACAAGTACAGATCCAGATTTAATCACAGTAAATAAGAATTTTAAGGTTAAAGGAGAAAAAAAAACCTCCTCTGTAAATTTAAATGTAAATTTGAATGAGCCGCCACATTCCTTACAGTTTACAGGGAAGGGATTATAAGTGCTAGAACATCCCTCACATCATCAGTACCAAACTGCTGAAGATACTGTCATTTTCATCTCAAATCCCCAACTCAGCCTTTTTGATTCCCAGGAAACAGGAAAAAAAAAGTTCTAAGCCAAGATTCCAAACTGACAAGTACAAATAATTTGTATGTACCTGTCACTATACACAGATCGCTCAAAAAATAATACAGGTTCCTCTGCATCTTTGAGCTTGCCATTGAGAGAGGCAAGTTGAGCTCTTATTCTACTGAGGCAGGCATATGACTGGAAGGTAAAAGACCATCGTTCAGGCTTCTGATACATCATCTGAAGAACATTCCCACCACTCTTCTGAGATGTCGTCAGTTCCTATTTTGAATTTGAAAAAAGAAACAAAGTCAATGATAAATAATTTTTTAAGAAGTTCAAAAAGAGAAGATGAATCATTAAATGCATCAGGATGAGCAAAACTATGATGATGAGGTCATTTTCTCCTACTTTTTCCCCACTGTATTTTTCAGGTTAAAGCTAGTTTAACCACTAATTTCTTAGATCTTTTTCACAAGGAGCCACAAACTAACAGCCTATGGCAGAAATTTCTTCTTTGATCCCAACAACTTTTTTTTTTTGTTTTAAAGATTTATTTATTTATGCGTACAAGAACTGGGCTAGGCCAGAGGTGGAGGGTGAGAGGATTCACCAGAGACAGAGTGGGGAGCAGAACAGGCAAATTGACTGAAATACACTGCTGAGGGGAGCAGCGGATAAGACAGGAGAAGTCTGCTGCAAAAAGTGGGTCACCTCCTCGGTGGGGAATCAAACTCCTGCTGCAGTGGCTGCGGATTGCTTCATAGTGCTGATGCTTCACCCCTTGTGCCACCAGGGAGGCCCCCTGAGCCTAACAATACTTTTTAAAAATGTAGTTGCGTGCCTCCCCTGGTGGCGCAGCAGTTGAGAACTGGGCTGCGAAGCTGTCCTCAGCCTCTGCAGCTGCCAGTTTGATCCCCGGTCACTGGAGAGGGTCCCACATGGCGCACAGACCTCTCCTGCCACGCCCACTGCTCCCCTAAGCAATGTATTTCATCATTCTGCTTGTTCTGTTCCCCACTCTGGCTCTGGTGAATTCTCTCACCCTCCCGCGCTTCTGACTGTACCCAGCGCTTCTATAAATAAATAAATGAATTTAAAAAAAAAAAAAATGTAGTTGCTGGCCTCCCTGGTGGCCTAGGAGTGCTACCACCACTACGGCTCACCCACAACAGCCTGTGATAGCCTGAGTTCAATCACCAGCCAGGGAGCTAACTCACACGGCCCAGCAGACTTCTCCTTTTTCACCTGCAGCTCCCCTTGGCAGTGTACTTCAGTCAGTCTGCCTGTTCTGCTCCCCACTCTGTCTCTGGTGAATCCTCTCACCCCTCCGCACCTCTGGCCTGTACCCCAGTTCTTGTATGCATAAATAAATAAATCTTAAAGCTTTTTTTTTAATTTTTTTTATTAAGGCATGTTTCATTTATTTATTTGTATGTTTGTTTTTTTATACATGCACTGGGTACAGTCAGAAGCGTGGGAGGGTGAGAGAATTCACCAGAGCCAGAGCGAGAAGCAGAGCAGGCAGAAGGACCAAAGCACACCGCTGAGGGGAGCAGCGGGCGGCAGGAGAGGTCTGCGCGCCATGCGGGACCCTCCTCCAGTGGCCGGGGAGCAGCCGGGGATCGAACCAGCGCTGCAGAGTCTGTGGGCAGCTTCGCAACCCAGCGCTCAACCGCTGCGCCACCGGGGAGGCCCAATAAATAAATCTTTTAAAAAATATATGAGACAATGGGGATTACGAACACAGACTGAATAACACAAAAGAAATACTCATCTTTTAGATGCTATTTTTTTAAATAATATTTCTGGAGTTATTTTTAATGAGTCTTTAAGTTCCACAGACGAAGTACATATTATCTAGAACAGATTCTTACATTGTGGGAAAGGAACCCCTGAGTCTTTCAGGGAATCTGCAAGGGAAAACAAAAATTTGTTTTCACAATAAATCCAACTTTTGCTATTAAGTCAGATGTTAAAGAGATTACAAAATGTAAAACAATGCCACTTTCCTCACAATTTTTTGTTCTGTGTAAGTTTTTTTTTTTCATAAAAATATTATTTATGTAAGCATGTAGTTCATTGTAATTTTTTTAACATCTTTTTTTTTATAGAGGCATGTTTTATTTATTTATTTGTTTGTTTGTTTGTTTGTTTGTTTGTTTTTGTTCATACATGCACTGGGTACAGTCAGAAGCGCGGGAGGGTGAGAGAATTCACCAGAGCCAGAGCGGGGAGCAGAGCAGGCAGAAGGACTGAAGTACACTGCTGAGGGGAGCAGCGGGCGGCAGGAGAGGTCTGCGCGCCATGTGGGACCCTCCTCTAGTGGCAGGGGAGCAGCCGGGGATTGAACCGGCGCCGCAGAGGTCGCGGGCAGCTTCCCAACCCAGCGCTCAACGGCTGCGCCACCGGGGAGGCCCTCATTGTAATTTTAAAAGAAGTAACTGACACATCTTTAAAGTGTTTCAAATTAAATTCTAACAGTAAATTTGATAGTTCTAACTTAACATAAAGGTTCTTTGATTCTTTAGTAATTACAGACTACCTTATAAATTTGTTTAGTTAAATAAAGTAACATTAGTTATTGAATGATGCTGTCTTATGTCTTAAAGTTATTAAGGACTCACAGGATTAATCTACTCAATAAGAACCAGTTTACCTCCTAAAAACTTCACATATACAGTATCTGCTTTAAGTATTTTTATTAAATATAGTTATATATAATAACATATAAACCCAAATAACTTAAGTCAAACCCGATTTAAAGCACTTAATATTATTGTGAGAATATTTATAAAAATTATAAAAATGGCACTTAGTCAATATAATCAATGAACGTGAAAAATACATATTAAGGTTATTCAAACTATACTGCCCTCTGAAAATTGAGCCAACTTCTTGACAAGTGATTTAAACAGCAAATTCACATAACTAATTTACTCTATAAGAAAAAAAGGCAATGTAGAATAACTGTAAGAAAGAAAAAATCAACAAACAACAAACAACTATGAACCAGAGACACACTATTGGGGGGAGTGGGGAAAGGAGGGGTTGTGGTCAAAATAAGGGGGGTGCAATTGTATGGGGAATATAAAAATAAAAAGAAAGAAAAAAGAAAGAAAAAATGGCAAATGTAGATTAAAGGTCCAGAAATGCTTAACTAAAATGAACATGACTAACTATAATAAGAAAAGAGGTGGGCCAGGATCCTGAAGAATATTTATATAGACTTATTCAACAATTCCATAAATATTAGCTTCAGGATCAACTACATTTAGATCCAAATTTTAAAGTGTTATTTTGGTCCATAATCTATGAATATTCATCCCTTAAGCAAGTTCTCAGAAATGTCTGATTCATGTCAATAAATGTAAAATATGCACTTGGTGTAACCCTAAACTTTTGAGGAAAGGCAATCATACCTTTAAACATAATATTCTGATCATAACTCAATGAAAAATATAGGAAAGAGCAGAGATATATACCAAACAGTCTTTCTCAAAAGTACACTAAAAATAAAATCAAGGCTTTGAGCCCAAATAATAACAAAAATCACAAAGTAATACACATTATTATTTGAAATAAACCTACAATACAAAGTTGGATAATCATCTGGATGGTATGTTAAAGATGATCTTACCATGGGAGTAGAAGGGAGGGAAGACTACATAATATTCTTAAGTACTCTGCCGCACTATTTTGCAGCTTATGAACGGTACAGCAACATTTCAACCACTAGGTGGCAGGTAAAAAAAAATAAAACAGCTTGAAAAAAAAACCATGCTAACCATGCAGGTGCAAAATTAGTTACTAAGTACCAATAACCCCAGTTACCATCAACTGCCAAGAAGTGTGATTAAATGGTGAAATTCAAAGTAGAACTATCCCTGTGTGGGTTGGGTTTGAAACTGTGTTCTCACTACTGACAGTATTCTATGAAAGGACAGTGGATGATACAAAGTATAACCCCAAGGAATGTATCAGAGATGGAACTGGGGAAGAAGGGCTCCAGAATGAAGAAAGAAAAGCCCCTATCTTGAATTTAGTGGCAGTCCAGAAAAAAAAGAAAACATCCAGCTATATTAGGGAACCCACCCATACAATACCAGTGTCACACTCCACAACTTTATCTTCAAAATATTATCCCCACACTATCTGAAACTTCACCTAAAAATATAAGTCCTTATCACACACACACATAGTTCTGAGAATGTGTACAAAAATCCAATGAAGGTAACATCATAGAGACATGACTGGATTACAGTAAACAGTCTCATAAAAGTATGTTAATGGTAGTTCTAATAAAATTATATTCTGACTCTAGCATATGGGAAGAAAACATGTGAGTCTATAGACATGAGTATGAGACCCATGAATCCACTTTTTTTTTTTTGCATAGAAGAACTGGGGTGAATTATCATCACAAGAATTTTTTATGTGAGTTTCTACCCCTGGTGGAGATATTATCTTAGGCAAAGTTACTGAAACCTGAGAAGAACAAACAGGAACTTCTAAAATGAGTAAAGTTCTGTTTCTTAAGCTGGACAATATTTACAAAGATGTTAGCCATAAAAATTATTCTTCAAATTGTATGCAGGTTTCACGTATTTTTCTGCAGTTACATCAAGTTAGTAAAAAATATTGAAAGCAGCAAATAAACAAATTTACCCACTTTCAAACTCTATTTAAGGCTAACACTGTCTTTCCCTAAACACTAGACTAAAAAATATCAATTCTTAAGAAAATGGAGACCATCGTACTGAAAGGGAGAAGATATTTGTACATCATACATTTAACAAAGGAGTAACACACAAGATCTACAAAGAAATCATGCAACTCAACAAAAAGAAACAACCCAATCAAAAAATGAGTAGAACAGCTAAAGAGACACTTTCTCGAAGACATATACAAAGCCATGACACGTGAAAAAATGCTCACGATCATTTATCATCAAAGAAACGCAGACCAAAATCACAATGAGATACCACCTCATTCCTATAAGAATGGCCAATAATAATTAAAACTAGAAACAAGTGCTGGTTAGAGTATAGAGGAAAAAGACCCTTGTACAATGTTGGTGGAGCGTAGACTAGTCCAGCCTCCGTGGAGGTTTCTCAAAATATTAAAAGTAGATCTATCATATGATCCAGAATTCCATTCCTAGTTATCTACCCAAAGGATACAAAAACTCTAATTCAAAGGGATATATACACTCCTATGTTCACCACAGCACTATTTACATTAGCCAAGTTATGGAAAAAATCCAAGTGCCCAAGGATAGATGAGTGGATTAAGATTTGGTATATATGGAATACTACTGACTGATAAAAAAGATCGACTCTTGCCGTTTACAACAACATAGGTGTAACTATAGAGGGTTATGTTAAGCAAAATAAGTCAGAAGGAAAAGACAAATACCAGATGATTTCACTTATATGTGGACTATAAATAACAAAGAAATAAATAAAAACAAATCCTTAAAATGTGACAACAGAACTGAGGCTATCAAAAGAGAGTAGGGCCTCCCCTGGTGGCGCAGTGGTTGAGCGCCGGGCTGCAAGGCTGCCCGCAGCCTCTGCAGAGCCGGTTCGATCCCCGGCTGCTGCCAGGCAAGGGTACCACCTGGCACACAGACCTGCCCTGCCGCCCACTGCTCCCCTCAGCAGTGTATTTTGTTGGTCTACCTGTTCTGTTCCCTGCTCTGGATCTGGTGAATTCTCTCACCCTCCTGTGCTTCTGACTGTACCCAGTGCTTGTATAGATAAATAAATAAATCTTTAAAAAAAAAAAAGAAAAAAAAGTGGAGAGTAAAGGGGAGAATAAAGAGAGGAGGGGGCTCAATGGAACCATGGTGGAAGTATTTTGGTAGTGAATGAGGCATGACAACATATATGTGCAGAGGTGTGTGAACCTACACCGCTGAAACATATACACTATTATAAATCAAAATTATCTCAATAAACATAGTTAAAAAACAGAAAAAGAAAATGGGAGTCCATATAGGAAAATATTTCTTCAAAATTTAGTCAAAGAATTGTGGTACACTAAGCAGGGCCCCATACCTAAAGTTAACTCACTAGCAAATAGATGTGTGATAAAAATATTTTTGGTTATTTAAAACTATATATCCTCAAAGTCTTCAGAGTATCTTACTAGTGAGTCTTTTTTGTATATGTGATTTACATTTTAAGTACTCTTATTCCCATATTTTTCTTGAAAAATATTTTTTTTCAATCCCCTGTCCTCAATTATGTTTTTTTTTAAAGATTTATTTATTTGTTTATACAAGCACTGGGTACAGTCAGAAGTGCGGGAGGGTGAGAGAATTCACCGGAGCCAGAACGAGAGCCAGAACAGACAGACTCTCTCACCAGAGCCAGAACAGACAGACTGATGAAGTACACTGCTGAGGGGAGTAGCGGGCGGCAGGAGTGGTCTGCGCACTATGTGGGACCCTCACCCGGTGACCGGGGATCAAACCGGCGCTACAAAGGCTGCGGGCAGCTTCGCAATCCAGCGCTCAACCGCTGCGCCACCAGGGAGGCCCACCCCGGCCCTCAATTCTAACAAATAAATTTTCAACATATTATTTCCATTTTGAAGATTTCTGTTAAGCTTTTAATTTCAAATTTTAGTTCTTTAGAAAGAAAAATTTTAATAATTATGTCCCCTCATACACAAACAATAAAAAAATTTCTGTAAAAATATGAAATTTCATGGGCCTCCTTGGGGGCGCAAAGGGTTGAGACACAACCTATGAAGCTATCTGCAGCCACTGCAGCACAAGTTCGATCCCCAGCCAGGGAGGTACCCACAGCAGTGGCGCAGCAGACCTCTCCTGAGTCACCCGTTGCTCACCTCAGCAATGTATTTCAGTCAGTCTGCTTGTTCTGTTCCCTACTCTGTCTTGGTGAATCTTCTCACTTCCCACACTTCTGGCCTGTACCCCAGTTCTTGTATGCATAAAATAAACAAATCTTTAAAAAAAATGAAACTTTACTGTTATTCCCTTTTCACTTTCAATGGGGAATGAAAAAGTGCTAAAAAATTGGAATTTGTGTTCAGGGTAAAAATCTGACAAGAATGAAAGTACAAAAAAAAAAGAGGTAAATAAATGGTTTTAAGACAAAAGCCTTGAACAATACTAATAAAATTTAGTTATTGGGTAAGTTTTTGTTTTATTTTTTGTTTGGTTGTTTTTAAAAAAATGCAAAAATCTGCTCAAGGAATTCAATGTGCTATTATTTCTTTTTAATTTTTGATTTTTAAAAGCTGTTTATTTCTAAAATATTTTATTTATATATATTTTTTACATCATTGTTCATTTTTGTACATTTGCATTCTCCTCTCAGGTACAGTCCCCACAGAATTTCCACCACCAATTTACCCGTGCACCATCAGCACAGTCCCTTGTGCTTTGCTCTTCCTGCCCTCCCTCCCCCTCCCTTGCAGAACAACTCTGATTTACAGTTGCCTGCTTTGTTTTGTTGTGTTTTTTTAATGTTGTTATTTTTTTCCCCTGATCCCTTACTTGGTTCCCCTATATTCCTCCTCTAAGTGAAACCATCAGATAATTTTCTTTATCCTTCTGAGTTGTTTCACTGAGCATAATCCCTTCTAACTCCATGTTGCTGCAAATGGCATTGTTTTATCTTTTTTTGATTGCTGAATAGTATTCCATTGTGTATATATACTACATCTTCTTGATCCACTCATCTATTTTAGGCATTTGGGCTGTTTCCAAGTCTTACCTATTATAAATAGTGCTGCAATAACCATGGGGTACAGGTATCCTTTGAGTTGATGTTTTTGTGTCCTTTGGGTATATGTCCTATGAGTGGAATTGCTGAGTCATATGGTAGCTCCATTTTTAGCAGTCTAAGGAACTTCCACACTTTCCATGGTGGTTGAACCAGTTCCCACCAGCAGTGTAAGAGTTCCTTTTTCACCACATCCTCACCAACATTTGCTGTTGCTAGTGTTTTAAATATGTGCCATTCTCACTGGTGTAAGGTGATATCTCATTGTGGTTTTGATTTGCATTTCCCTGAGTATAAGGGATGTTAAACATTTTTTCATATGCCTGTTGGCCATTTGCATTTCCTCTTTGGAGAAGTGTCTTTTAAGTTCTTCTGTCCATTTTTGGACTAGATTCTTTATTTTTGTTGTATCCTGTGAGTTCTTTGTATATCTTTGTTATCAGTCCCTTATCAGTTGCGTGGAGAGTGCAAAAATTTTCTCCCAATCAGTATGGTGTCTCTTTGTTTTGGTTAATGTCTCTTTTGCTGTATAGAAGAAAAGCTTTTAACTTCTTAGATACAATAAAGTACAGAGATCTTAAATAACAGCTCAATGAATATTTACATATATATCCCTCCACTACCTAGGTGAAGATATAGACAAAGGTAGATTTGAACCTTTTTTGGAAAAGGAAAAACAGAAAATGCAAGAGATTAAATACTACTGATCCTCTAAATCAAAGATTTTTATTTTACTTAGTTAAATTTTATTTTCGTACCTCAAATTCATCTTGAGTACTTTGAACATTGCACCACCTAGCAACAGGTTCAGGAACCACTTCCCAGTCCTCACAGACTTGCTTAAGAATATTCACAAATGTTGATTTCCCTGCAGCTATGGTGAAAGAAAAATAAAATTGAAGAAGAAAACATATAAGGAAAAAAAAGTCAAAATAATTATCAGCTTTTACAAAATTTATAACACAATGTCTGTAATAAAAAAGTTAGTAAATAATACAAACCCAAAAACATTCAATTTCTAAATGTTCTCACTTGATTTTTAAAAATCAAAACCAAGAGGGTCCTGCCCACTGTATTAAGCATATTTATTTCCTATCTTTTTTAGCTTAGCAAATTCATGGAACTTGGTACAAGTTTTAGGCAAGATGCTATGGGGGGGGAATAAAACCCTAGACCTAGACTCACTTTCCTTAACCAGACAATCAGAGAGAACTTTGTAGGGAAGTATTTAAATGTGTATATGTTTGTGGATAAGTCACTGAACCAGTCCAAGCCTGCTGCACCATAATGGAGACAATATACAAATAACGCCCTCCTGGAAACTTATTGTAATAAACAAGGAAATTATTACTACAGTGATAATGATTCCAGCCTCTTGCATTTTCAAATTTTTTCTCTCTTTTGGCTCTGTTCTCCCAGCTTATAAAAGTTCCGGTCTTTCCTATCCAAAACCAAAACCAATTTAGAATCCACCAAATAAACTACAAAATACTCATCCAATGCCTTTACTTGAAGACTTTTTTAGAATAGGAAATAATATGGTTATTATATGACACTAATTATTACATGGTACTACAGCTAACAGAAATTATAGAAATGTTTTTGCAAAGTACTTCCTACAAAGTTATAGTGGTATTTTCCCTGCTTTCATTTTACTTTCATGATTCTGTGCACTCTATCCAACCCTTTGGGGAAAAAAAAGCTATATTATGACTTTACTTCTCCCTGATCATTCATTTTTGTAATATGGGGAAGGTGGGGTGGGGAGAAGGAGTAGTTAAGGTGTAATCAGTACATATTAAATTCACTACTTAGTAGATCTGCCTGTTCTGCTCCTCACTGTCTCTGGTGAATCCACTCACTCCCCACACCATTGGCCTGCACTCCAGTTCTTGTATGATAAATAAAAATAAATCTTTATTAAAAACAATTACTCAGAAATGCAGTCCACTTAATGGCAGGAAAAGTACTGAGTTAAAGGTTAACAAGGTGTAGCAATACTCCTAATGACCGCCACACCCTAAAGTCACCAAATGTAGTTGTATTAGACATCTCTGGTTTGCATAATTTATGTGCTGGGAGAGAGAAATACACACACATAAATATACATTTTTTAAAAAAGCAACTTAAGTATGATTAAGAAAAAGTGTCCTCTTCCTTACAAATTGGATCCAAAGAAGACAAAAATAACCTACCTTTGACTTGCAGAATTATATTCAAACTTAGAATATTAAATAGAGCAACAGAAAAGAAGAACCTGGAAGAACTTTAAAGTATCACACTGGGGTGAAGAATGGGAAGACGGGCAGTTAACAAGAATGTAACAGAATGAACAGAGAACAACTGAGAAGCAAAACATAAGTCATACCATCACCACAGAATAGGATAAAAACTTTAAAGCATAAAGTAGGTGGCTATCAGATTTAATCACAAATTTTGTGTGGAGAGGGTAAACATAAGAGATGAAATGCATTCAGGAAAATGGTAAGGTCGAAACACATAAAATCTAAAATCATCACGAGGCATTTCACTAAGCTAGACTGAGGAATCAAAGACAATATGATGTTCAAAAGAACACCCAAGGAACACACTAAAAAAATCCCACATCAGCTACATTCTGAAAGTTCTTAACCCTAGAGCATTCAGCTTTCTTCTGACACTGCTACAAAAAGAAAAAGTTCATACAGTAATAACAGTTACACTTAGTTCAAGCAGAGTAACAACAATTACCTATAATTCCCATTCCTTAACTTTTTGGGGGTTTTTCATACCAACACCTTAAGCTGGAGCAATAAAACAAACAATTCCTCTTTGAGGGTGTGTGTACTTTCATTTCTATTTATTTTACTATTATATTTATCTGTTATAAATATATTACTTTTTTATTATAAATAATAAACATATAAATATATTGTAATATATAATTATAAATAGAATATATTATATATTTCTATTTCTATTATCTTTATTTCTATTCCCTGTAATGCTACCAAACAATGCTCTGTTTGTCTTGCCTTTTTAAATAAGGTACAAGTGCTTTGGATGTGGTATGAATTTTAGAACATTTGCTATACGCATGAATGGACAATACCCAAGTTGGAGCCAAAAAAATTCTATCAAAACAGGAAATGTCAGGCACATACTAGGTTTCCTGTGGTAGGAAACAGAATAATTGTAAGTTCAGGTGTATCTTTCAAAAATGACATGCATGGTATGGTCTGCGCCCACCTGGGTTAAGAACAGAAATTGTAGTGGTCTGTGAAGCAACCCAATGTTTACTTAGATGTGGGGTTGGGAGTGAGGAACTCCAAACCGTCAAGATGGTTTAAACACTCTTTCCTAGTACCCAAATATTTATGAGTTATATTCAAAATCACTAAAAAATTAGAGACAGCACCAGTGTCCACAATTGGGGAATAAACTGTGATATAGCCATGCAAAGGAACATTATACCTAGTCAAAAAAAAAAAAAAAAAGAACAAACAACATAAACATAAAAGTCCTTCATATGGTGGATTGGTTCTTGCAAATTTGGACTTTAAGCAAAACTAAGTCTAAGGAAGGCTGGTACTTAAATAACTTTAGTTGAAATGCAGGATTTCGCATCAATTTTATCACTAACGGACTTTGAATTAAATTACATTATTTAAGCACTTGCTATGCAAGCAACAGGAATGAATCAAAAAGCATGATAAATTTATTTTTTTTAAAGATTTATTTATGCATATAAGATCTGGGGTACAGGCCAGAGGTGTGAGAGGTGAGAGGATTCACCAGAGACAGAGCGGGGAGCAGAACAGGCAGATTGACCGAAGGACAATGCTGAGGGGAGCAGCAGCGAGTCAGGAGAGGTTTGCTTCACCATGTGGGTAGCTCCCTGGCCGGGGATCGAACTCATGCTGCAGTGGCTGCAGACAGCCTCATAGGTTGTGTCTTAACCCCCTGCACCACCAGGGAGGCCCAGCATGATAAATATAAAAGATACAACAAGCTAAATGTTCTGATTCTGTTTATATGACATTCTTGTATTGCAAAATTCACAGGGGCTGACCATAAAGGAGAACAAAGAAACTATGAGTTTTATTCAAAATCATCATCGGAGGTGATGGATATTTATTTGCCAGTTATTTACATATCTTTTTAACTTTGGGGGTACATTTCACACCGCCATATGTGCATAATCAGCTCCACTCATCTGCCACCATCCTCCCTCTCCAATTCCCTCTGGTACAATCTAACAACTATTTTTGCTGTGCTTTGCCAATGTGCTGTTGGCTATCTGTGTTCCACAAATAAGTGAGACCATCATGTCTTTCACTCTCTGACTTATTTCACTTAAGATAATCAAGGCTGCTGGAAATGTTTTGAATTTTGATAGTGGTGACAGTAAAGCATGAAGTCTGTCAAAGCTCAAGGCGGAGGACACCTAAAATGGGATACTTTCTCTTCATTATCAAACGTCTTCTTTTATTTCAGGGAATTCCCCCGTTTTGAATTCCACTTGTCTGACATTAATATACTCACTCCAGCTTTTGCATGTTTACATTTGCACTGTACAGCTTCTATCATTTTCAAAAGGAGCAATTTAACATATGGAATTTACACCTAAAGAAATGACACACACCCCTCAAAAAAAAAAAAGGTAAAACCTCTCCGCTTCGAGCGATTTCATCAAAAAGGATGAAACAGGCCCAAAGCGCGCCTCACAAAGCGGGTAGGCCTAGGTGCGGGCCCAGCCGCCCGCTCGCCGCCTCCACCGAGGGAGGCCCGGGAGGGAGGGCGGATGCTCTGGGCGGGAAGGGATCGCGTCCGCGGCGGCCTCCGCCCCGCAGGGCTGGGCGACGAGTCCCCCAAGAAAAGCAGGCGAGAGGCAGCGAGGTCAGCCGCCGCGACCCCCTCGGCCTCGGGCCCAACATTCCCCGGGGCTCCTTACCGATGTTCCCTTCGATGGAAATTTTCTTGATGCGGGTTCCCTCAGAGCTCGTCGCGGGCGAAGGGCAGCTCCTCTTGGGTGGGGTGGCCATGGCTCCTGCGGCGGCCTCGAGCGCGTCGGGAGGGAGGGCGGTGCGGTGCCTCAGGTGTGCGCGCTGGGCTCGACCCCCGGCTGGACGCCACCCGTCGCAGGCTCTGGCGCTGCCGGGCTGGAGTTTGATTTTGGCGCGCAGAGGTAGCTACAGACGGGGCGGGCCTGTGGAGTGCCCGCCCGCCCGCGCAGAAGGACCGCCCCAGCCCCCGCCGCCCGGCCGCCCGGCCGCCCCGCCGCCCGCGAGCCTTCAGCGGGCCCGCCGGGAGTTCGCGCGCGCGAAAGGCGGGGCTCCTGCGTGCGCTCCCTGGACGTAGGGTCACGCGGGGCAGTGGGCGGGGCCGCGGGGCAGTGGGCGGGGCCGCGGGGCAGTGGGCGGGGCCGCGGGGTAGTGGGCGGGGCCGCGGGGCAGTGGGCGGGGCCGCGCGCGCGCAGGGGCGTGTCTCTTCCCTGGACCCGGGGCAGGAGGAGTTTTTGGTTCCAGAATCTTGTGCACACCCAGGTCAGCGCCTGACAGCGCGCGAGGACGGAGGATGTGGTCTGCCGGGTCTTTCGTAGTGAGGCGGGCCGGGTTTCGGGATCGCATCGCTCCAGGGTGGAGTGTGGAGGTAGACAGAGCCTTGCCTGGGACTGTCGCTGGGATCTGACTCAACGCCTCCGGACGGAAGCATTGTGTAGTGGAAGAATCGAACTTACGACCCTGCGTGCTCGGTCTGTTAGGGGGAAAGGATGTCCTGAGCTAATCCCAGGCAGGCTTTGTGGACCCCACCCCGACTCCAGACCAAAGCCATCAGGACATTGGGAAAGACAAATCCCGTCACCACCAAAGGGAAGGTGGCTGGGACCTGAGGGTGGAGTTAAGCAGCCAGGTGTGGTATAAAAACCAAACACGTGGGCCTTGGGGTTGCTCTCTCGCCTCCTGGCTTCACGGCTCCTGGCTTGCCGCCAGCTCTCAGAGCGCCATTTGGGATTCCAGATCGGCGGATCGGGTAGGACGCATTTAAAACTTTGTCTCCCACTTTTCTCCCTGAGCTGTACATTTCCTCATTTCCCCTTCCCTTGTAAATAAACCTTTATTAACCTTTCATGTGTGCCTGCAGTAGAGCATTGATAAGTCCTTTTAAGCGCGGGTGAGAATCCACATTCAGGCAACCTGTTTTGTATCGGGGCTGCCCTATAACAGTTCTAGAGGGAGACCGTGGGGCCGTCCAGTCGTCAGGAAAAGTCTTGCACTCTTATTGTGTGCCAGGCACTATTTCGAGCACTTTCCAAGAATTATCTAGCAATCCACTGCCCCAGCTGTCACCATTACCACTATGAGTGAGCACAGACATTGAGAGGCTACTTGTTCAGAGTCTCAGTAAGTGGAACTTGAATGGGAATTCAGGTAGGAATTTAGATGCTATGTACCACAGAAATTATTTTTTTTTTTTTTTTGGTGGGACTCTCTCGGGTGGCAGGGGATCGAACTGGCACTGCAGAGGCTGCGGGCAGCCTCACAACCCAGCGCTCAACTGCTGCGCCACCGGGGAGGCCCACACAGAAACTTTTGGTTGGTTTTTTTTTTCCTGCGTATAAGAACTAGAGTGTAGGGCAGAAGTGCAGGGAGTGAAAGGATTCATCAGAGACAGAGTGGGGAGCAAAACAGGCAGATCTACTGAAATACACTGCTGAGGGGAGCACAGGGGAGACAGGAGAGGTCTGCAGTGCCAGGTGATGATTGGCCCCCTGGCAGGGGATCCAGCTGAGGCAGTTGTGGTGACAGCGCTAAGACTTAACCCCGAGGCCACCAGATAGGCCCAGAAAGCATTTCTTTTTTTTTTTTTTTTTTAAGATTTATTTATTTATTTTATACAAGAGCTGGGTACAGGTCAGAAGCGCAGGAGGGTGAGAGAATTCACCAGAGCCAGAGCAGGGAGCAGAGCAGGCAGATGGAGTGAAGACACTGCTGAGGGGAGCAGTGGGCGCGGCAGGAGAGGTCTGCTGCACCATGTGGGGTTCTCCCTGGCCGGCGGGGAATCGAACCGGCGCTGCAGTTGCTGTGGACAGCTTCACAGCACAGCGCTCGACCGCTGTGCCACCAGGGAGGCCCCCCGGAAAGCATTTCTTGATTCTCAATACCCCTCTCTAGTTAATTTGCCCATTTATGCTCTAGGGCAGCATAACTTGACACCCTAAAATACCCCTCTTTGATCATTGATTATTTTGAGTTAAAATTACTTGAGAAACTTGGGGTTCAGATGATGGGGTTCAATGCGTGGGGCTCTTGGGTTCCCTCTGCAAAAGAATTCGGTAGAGGTTCCCATTCATCAACACAGGACAAGTTCAAGGAAAAGAGAAAAAGGAAAAAGATGCCTGCATAGACACAGGCAAGCACTCTTAAGACAAGAACTGCATCTCACCAGAGCAAAGGGTGTCTGTTTATATTGTTCTTTGATGGAATTATTGTGGAAATTATTCACTTGGGGTTAGGTTGGGATGATAATCCTCTCTGTCCTGGGCTGGCTGATGATTTCTGACCCCATGTCAGATTCCTGGTAACTTCAATAACCAGTATAAGAATCATTAATTGGGGCCTCCCTGGTGGCACAAGGGGTTAAGACACAACCTATGAAGCTATCAGCAGCAGCAACCTATGAAGCTATCAGCAGCCAGGAGCTGGATCCCCGGCCAGGGAGGTGACCCACATGATGCAGCAGACCTCTCCTGTCTCACGCGCATCTCCCCTCAGCAGTGTATTTCAGTAAATCTGCCTGTTCTGTTCCCACTCTCTCTGGTGAATTCTCTCACCCTCTACACCTCTGGCCTGTACCCCAGTTCTTGTATGCATACATAAATAAATCTTAAAAAAAAAAATCATTAATCATCCCTACCCCTACCTCTGGTGTTTGTCCTTGTGTGACCTTTCATCCTAGTTTTTTCTACTCTAAATTTTCATCAAAACCATTGGTATGGGCCTCCCCCGTGGCGCAGTGGTTGAGCGCTGGGTTGCGAAGCTGCCCGCAGCCTCTGCTGTGCCGGTTCAATCCCTTGCTCTCCGCTCTGGCTCTGGTGAATTCGCTCACCCTCCCGCACTTCTGACTGTACCCAGTGCTTGTGTAAATAAATAAATAAATCTTTAAAAAAAAAAAAAAACAAAAAATGGGTACAAGAACATCTGACCTTTCCCCTTAGTCTCTCTGGAACAGGAGATAAATCACCCTGATGAAAGATACTCTCTTTGGATAGTGTAAAAGGAGGAGACAGGGAGTATAAAAGGTTTCCTTATCATCAGAGATAGAGAATTGAGGGCCAAGAGGCTGAGTAAACAAACCATGTTTTTTTACTAATTTACTTACTAAACCCTTTGTCAATTCTTTGAAAATTTTTTTGTCTAAAATGTGTAGAAGTTTCTTGCTTTGGTCACTTCTTTTGAATCTCACATTTATATGGGCCTTCTGTATGGATGTGATGAAATTTTTCTCCTGATAATCTCTCATGTCAATTTAATTTTTAGGCCAAGAACCTACAAGGGAAGGGAAATTTTTTTCTGCTCTCTATAATCCATGTAGAACTTCACACTGGAAAGGTTCTTAAAGCAAAATTAAATTTTCATGCCTGTGCAGCTGATACAGTTAATAAATGCAGTGTGAAAAATGCCTAGAGAAATTCATTCTTAATCATTGTAAAGACCTAATAAACCAGACAATAGCCAGTTGTCTAGAATTTCTTATTGTCTATAGAAACCAACATCCCTGTTACTCATTTTTGGAACTACCATCTAATCTGAAATTCATCTAAAGGTGGAGGCAGAAAAAGGGGGATAAATAGTGAATCCATTCTCAGTAATAAAGTGTAGAAATCAAATGTTGATTCCATAAGGAATGCTAGGACAAAAACAGCAATAATCATTCTCTGTAGCTATTCTACAAATATTGCTATTCTATTTTATGTATATTACTTTTGTTTAATGATTAGCAGCAGGCTCATGGAAATGAAAAGGGCCTGAATATTTGTCATCAGCAATGTCAAGGAGTTGGAAAAAGAAGATGGGAAAACTTTCAAATGTTGTATTCCCTACCCAAGCTTGAGGGGAAAAAAACCTATGAATTGGTAAGGGTATTGGCAGTTAGTGAGAGAGGAATTAGTCAGGGTGAGTCTCTGAGACCTTCAGAATGCCAAAAGTGGAACTGAAGCACCTGATCAAGATTTTAGGAGTTGAGGATCCCTAAATGTGGTTTCCACAAATGACAATACAATAAAAAATAACACACAACACACATACACAAAGTAGAATAGTGATTAAGAGTTTTAGCACTGGAAATGAAAGACTAGTTTTACATCTACCAGTCTCTGACTATGAGAACTTTAGTTCCTCTAAAGCTTAAGAATATACCTCAAAAATACAAATAAAATAAATGGAGGAAGCAGGGATGACATCAAGTTAAGCATAATTTCCTATTTTCCTACATAACATGCAGATAAGACAGGAAAGGGTTCAGAGAAAGGCACTTTAAAATGCACCTTCCTAGTTTTTGTTCACAATCCCTTACCTGAAAACCCTAGTAGACAGTTCCCTTTCACAATTCAAAACGTTTGGATTTTTGAAAGGAAATAGTCATGTTACAGGGCAGCCCCAATACAAAACGGGTAGCCTGACTGTGGGTCCTCACCTGCACACTTGAAAGGACTTATTAATACTCTACTGCAGGCACACACAAAGGTTAATAAAAGATTTATTCACAAGGGAAGGGGAAATGAAGAAATGTACAACTCAGGGAGAAAAGAGGGAAATAAAGTCTTAAATGCATCCTACCCTTTCTGCTGATCTGGAATCCCAAATGGCACTCTGAGATCTGGCTGCAAGCCACAAGCCGTGAAGCCAGGAGGCGAGGGAGCGAGAGAGCCCCAAAGCCCACGTGTTTGGTTTTTATACCAAACCTGGCTGCTTAACTCCACCCTCAGGTTCTAGCCACCTTCCCTTTGGTGGTGATGGGATTTGTCTTTCCCAATGTCTTGATGGCTTTGGTCTGGAGTGGGGGTGGATTCCACAAAACCTGTATGAAATTAGCTCTGGACATCCTTACCCCTAACAGTCATATTACATATATTATGTAACTACAGAACCTATTTTAAATGAAACAGACTCCACTTTGTCTCTGCTATAAAACTTCTAGGTG